ATCTTCAATTTGAAGAGAATCACATCAATTATAATACAGTTAATGTTGTTGTTGTTTTTTTTTTCGAATTATGTTTACGAAGTCTAGGAGACAATTAATGAAAATTGAAATAATTTGCGTTTTGTGGGAAGAAGGGAAAATAAAATCGTCAATGCATATTTCACTTTTGAAAGAATAATTTCTGAAAGGTTGGAATTATTTTAATCTAATGGTACTGAGTTGTCGAGGTCCAGGACAGAAAAAATAAAATCGTCAATGCATATATCCCTTTGAAAGATCTCCAATCTCATGAAGAATATAGAATAATTTCTGAAAGGTTGGAATTATTTAAATCTAATGGAACTGAATTGCCGAGGTCCAGGTGGTATGTGTAGAAGGCTCTCTAAGATGTTGTACCTACTGGGTCTTCTGTAGGTAGAACAATTTTTTTTCTGTCTATAGAATACCCTCTAGGGTATCTTCTATCTATAGAATATCCACTATGATGTCTTTTTCAGAAAGTAATTTATGTACCTCTTGAAAAGTCTTTAGTTTATAGGCAACCTCACACGAGATGTTACGTCTACAGAAGACTTTTGGAAAGTCTTTTATAAAAACCATTTGATAGGACTTATATAACTCTAATCTTTCTACCTTTCAATGATCCGTTACTCATATAAAATTTTATATATCCGTGAGACTCCTTGGGGCAAAATCTGACATGTGATATCGAGTGCCCATTTATTCGACAATTCAAATTCGATACGATCATACTTACTGTATGACACCATTCGATCGAAATTGTTTAAGACACCCAAAAAATAACGGCGTATATTGTCAATGCAATTTTTTGCCTCTTTGCAAGAAATCGGGGGGATATCAACTTCGTCATCACTGACTTAGTCGTCTTCTTGCAAAAACCCCAAGATTTCATCATCCGTTTGTATGCCTGCAACAACCACATTGTCGTCAAAGTGAACATATTCGTCGAAGCTGATTGGATTTTCTCCATCTTGAGGAACGCGATTCCATTCGGCTACGTTAGATTCAATACATGGTTCTTCACATACTGACGAGTATGGTCTTTTGTCGAAACCACAAGCTCGAAAACAGCTCGGAATCGTGGGCTGGCTAACATTTTTCCATACTTTGTCATCAATGTTCCTCGCGTGCAAGATTGTAATTTTGTATTCCTTTCATCCTCATTGCGATAGAAAGATTTAAAATTTTTTATGATGCCCCGTATCTAGTGGCTGAAGCTGAGAAGTTGTGTTTGCTGGGAAGAATTCTACCTCCACGTGACTCAGATCTGGACGTCCGTTGTGAGCCGTGCAATTGTCAACGAACAATAAAATCTTGCGATTTTGCTGACCACTTTGTTATTTACCAAATTAAGCCATTCATCAAACAAAATGCTCGTCATCCACACCTTTTTGTTGGAACGATAGTCCTTAGGAAATGACTCAATATTTTTGTAGCATCTTGGGTTCGCTGACTTTCCAATCATTAAAGGTTTCATCTTTTCAGTGCTATCCATATTAGCAGAAAAAAATAATGTGGTTCTGTCCTTGGTACTTTTACCACCATGGCATGCATCAACTTTGAAACACATTGTTCGGTCAGGAAGGCATTAAAAAAGCCCCGTTTCATCGGCATTAAAAATATTTTTGGGCTCATAGTTTTTAATCAAGTCCCGCAACTTTTGTTTCCACTCCGTGCAAACATTGACGCTGACGCTAGCGCTTTCACCACAAATTTTCCTGAAAGTTATGTTGTACCTTTCTTAAAGCGATCGAGCCATCCTTCGCTGGCTTTGAAATTGTTTAAGCCCAATCAAGTCGCAAACGTTTTAGCCTTTTCTCTAATAAGCACTCCTCCAATTGGCACATTCGATCCACGAATCCAGCTGCTTTTTGCGTTTTACGGTACTGCTGCTGGGCATTCCCATGATGATCTCCCTCTTTTTAAGAAGAGATGTGAGGGTAGACGGAGAGATGTGGTAGCGATTCGCTACATCAATTTTTTATTTCACCATTGTTCACTGCATTAATGATATAAAGCATTTTACGAATATAAAGAATCTTGTAGTGCGAACGTTTTTGTGACATTGAGTTAAATTCACTGAGCTGGAGAGAAATGTGAATAGCCCGATCGATCAACGTAAGAACAATGAGAGTTAGAGAAAAGCACACAAAAACAAATGTTTTGCCACTTCAGAGCAGAAAATCACTAGTGGTTTACCATTAAATGTCGAACGATGAGCATAAAAAAACGTGTTTTTGCTTGCAAAGAATGCGGCGCCCGCTACCAATTTGATGTAGCGGAATGAAGAGAAAGAGATAAACAAAAAATTTTAAGTTTACGAATTATCGAGGCTTACGAAGACAAATTACGGATTATAACATGTATTTTTTTGGAAAGTTTGCACGAATTGTCGAGGGAATTGTATGGGATTTTTACGAATTATCGCGATTTCTCCAAGGGTCCGGCATTTTGTTACCAATAAGCGGAGTTTACGAATTATCAGGATTTTACTGTATATTCAGCACATTCCGGAATTGATCCTCTTCTTGTTGATTTTTTTATTTTCCTGTTTTCGACACCTCTTATAGCTACGGGCAAATACTCGATAATTGTTATAGGATATTTGGACGAAATTTAGTAGATATCGAATATTGGCATGCCAAATTCAAAAACATTGCTCGAAACAGCTCGATATCGACTGTCATAAATGTAACTATATAAATTCTATACAAAATCTAATAAAAAATTTTTAACATACACCAGCAGGAAAGTATTTCTTTTGAGATATTTTTGAGATAAATACAAAAAGAATAGAACTAAAAATATATTTAAAAAATAAATAAAAAACAAATTAAATTCTTGTTCTTTTTTTGTTGTGAGAGTTTTGAAATAAATCCAAAAAACCATATTTATTCAAAACTTCAAAATTATACGTACAATAAACATATAATATAAATGAAAAATAAAAAATGTAACTAAATATAAAAAAAAATCTTAAAATTATGCTGAAAAAAAATCTATAATTAAAAAAATTAATTTAATGAAAAAAAAATATGTATATGTAAATAATATTTAATATAAAATGTGTATATATATTATTTTTTGTAAAAAAAAACTAAACAAAAAAATATATATTTATTAAATTAAAAAAACTCATTTAAAAATGATGAACACATTTTTTTGAAAAATTAAATAAAAAACAAATTTTAGCGTTTCCAAAAGAGAAAAAAATGTTTTTTTGTATGATTTTGAAAAAAAAATTAAATGTGTTTTTTTGTTATTATTTTTATATTTTTGTATCTTTCATTTAATAATATTGAAAAGGTGTTTGTTTTTTTGTTTATGTATGTAATCATAATGAAAAAATAAAACTAAAATATGTGTGTATATTTTTTCTAAATACAAAAAAATAGAAAAAAGAGAACATAGCGAAATCAAATGTTTCATTCAACAGGTAAAAATTTATATTTTTTGTCTTTTCTTTTTTTTTTTTATTATTTTTGCAACGAAATCTTAAATAAAGAAATGTCAGTCGAGTCAGTCTGTGGTGAGTGGTGGGCGAAGGTGCATTAGTTACGTAGTTAGGGATGTATGGAAAATTATAAATCTATATTTTATGAATGAAAAAAATTTGCAACCTGTTTATGATATTTTACTTTCCAAAAGAATTCAAGAAAGTTGCTAATAAACCTCTGGTTTCTGAAATATTAATTCATTTTGTTTTGAATCAATCAATCAAATTTAAAATCTCGAATTCCTTGGAATTGAATTTTAGCTGAGACAAGCTGTATTTATTAACTCAATTCTATTTCCTGTGGTTTTGTTGAACTATTAAAAATACCATTATTTTTGATTTAAAATCAACGGTGAACGACTTTCATTTTCCATTTGTAAAATAGCCAAACTGCAACGTTAGGCAAATCTTAGAAATGTATACTCTTCTAATTCCAAACCTCAATCTATCGAACCCAAATCTAAAAAAAAATCGATTGAAAGGTCCTTCTAGATGTTTTAAATAAAAAACCTATAGAAGGTTATCTATCTATCATTGAAAGGACAGCTATAGAAATTTCATTTAAAAAGGTCTTCTACCAAAATATATGAAAAAAATATGACGTCAGCAAACTTGAAAATTCAGAAAACCTCAAATAAAGCGGAGGCAATGCATTGACAATTTTTAACTGTGTATCGCTTTAGAATATACCCAATATATAAATGAAAATGATTACAATTACAAGTGTAAAGATGCCAAGCAATGTTGAAATTAAAAGAAATTCAATATAATCGAAATAATTTTTACAATTCAACGAACATGTAATAAAAACGTTGTTAAAGTTGCTGATGATAATGGCCGAGTTGAGACATAGTGTGATATTGATGATGAAGTTGTTGTTGCTGTTGATGCTGATGTTGATGATGGGGGGCATGATGATGATGATGGTGGTGATAATGATGTTGCTGATAAGTTGGCGGCGGTTGTGGTGGTGGTGGCATTTGACCATGACCATGAGCGGTCACAATAAGATTTACAGCAGGAGGGGGAGGAGGAGGAGCGGCAACATTTTGTGCAACCAGAGGGGGCGGTGCAAATGTTGACGAGGGTGTTGATGTTGCCGATGATGACGTAGAGGCTAGTTGTTGTGTTGATGATGATGGTGGTGGTGGTGGCGGTAGTGGCAATGTTGAAGATGAAGAAGCTGTGCCAGCAGCATTAATAGGGTTATTTGTTGTTGCTGATGTTGTGGAATTTTGCACATGATGATGATGATGATGACTACTATAATTGTTGTGATATTGTTGTTGATTATAAGTTCGTAATTCTATTGCTATGGTATTACCACTACCACTATTGAATACTCCACAACCACCGGAAAGTGGAACTCTTCCTCCTGCATTACTTCCTCCAGCTGTTGCAAAATTCATTGATTGTTGCTGTGATTGTGTTGTGGTGTATGAATGATTGTTGTTGCTGTTGTTGTTAGTTTTTGTTGAAGTTGTTATCGTTGCTGTTGCTGATGCTGTATCTGTTGTTGTTGCTGCTGCTGATGATATGAGGTGGCAATTGTTCTTTGCTGTTCCGATGCATTATATAATAATTGATTTTGCTGTTGCTGGCCCATTAGTGGCGGTGGTGGCTTTTGTTGTGCCTGTGCCGTCTGCTGTTGTTGCAAAAACACGTGTTGCTCATAATAGCCTTGATATTGCTTAGCCTGATGCTGCAACTGTTGTTGTTGCTGCTGCTGTTGTTGAGATTGATAATAACTTTGTATCTGATAATGTTGCTCGAATTGTTGTTGCAACTGCAATTGCATTTGCTGATGATGATATGCATCCGAAAGCATTGTATTACTATCAACAACGCTGGCAACACTAACACCACCTGCAGCTCCCTCTACTAATTGCTGTGGTGGTGGCACTGCCGCTGCTGCAGCACTAGAAGTTGAGGCAACAGCTGAGTCAGATTTTGGACCGCCATTACTGCTACCGCCATAACCCAATGAAAAACTGGTCGACGACGTCAGCGATGAGGCTGCCGATGTTGTTGTCGGTGTCGTTGACAATGTCGAAGAAACCGATGTTGTCGATAGGGGTGAATTTAAATTACGCGCAGCTGCAGTTACCTCACTTGCGACAAGACTATTTTTACTGCTTGATGGGCCATCATATAGGTTAGGTGGTGGTGGTGGAGCACCAGATGTGTTTGGGCCACCAATGCCACTGACCCCTGTAGTATTTATGTTGCTATTGTTTGTTGCTACCGCTACTGCTGCTGTTGATCCCGTTGCTGCTACAGAGGCTTGAACTGTTGTCGCCGCTGCTGCCAGTGTTGCTGTTGTTGCTGATGAAGATTGTGTTGATGGTGTGGTCATACTATGCGAATCAAGTCTTTGTCATTTGGCATTACTTTGAAGGGCAGCATTTATTTGTGTCCACAACTCTTTTTTACATGATTTTGATCTGTTCAAAATATAATTAAAATATTAATAAATTTGTGTTTGTTAAAATATACAACGAGAGGAAATCAATGTCGACAACTAAAGAGACATTGAGAGCATATCCCCATAGTTGCCTACAAAATGTCCTGATTCATAATTTATAAAACAATATCTTCTCACCTCTTTATCGACTGTAACCAATCCTTAAATTGTGCACTACCTTCCGGTGTTATTTGGAAAGCGGCTCGAGCCGCCACAATAATGCTGGCAAAATCTTCATAATCGGCTGGTGTTAAATGATACAATTTTTGATGTATACATTGGATATACCTATCAAAAGAAAGAGTGGAAACAACAATAAATCAATCTACAATTCTACAAACATCCAAAAACTTTACATACATTTGTTGGCATTTTTGTACCAACGGTGTCAGAGCCGATCTTAAATGTTGCATAACCAATTGATGATTATTGCGACCTAAATAGTGAGCCGATTCTATGGCCACATCGTGTAGCACAAATGGACTAACAATCGAATTAACGGCACACACACAGTACTGATGCAAATACTGGGATCCCAGTTTCTTTGAAATTCTCAGCAGCCATTTAACATCTTCGCCATAGGGAGGATTGCGTGCATACTTGGCCTGAGGACGATCGTCATGAACTCGTCGTGCCAATGTTTCCATAGCCAACATGCCAACATTATAGGCAGCCAAGAGATAACGTAATTGGGCGGGACTAATGAAATGCAAAATTAGTTATATTGATGATTAATTTTTTTTCTTGAGAACATAGAGTTATATGGGCTTATACTCACGTAAATTGATGTGGGTGACGTTGTCGGTTCGCCCCTTGTGGCGGTGGAGCCATTTGTTGATGATGTCCTCCTCCATGGCCGGCCATATTATGTGGCGGTGGTTGATGGTGTGGAGCTTGCTGTTGTTGGGGCGGAGGCGGTTGTTGCTGTACAAAAGGATACACAGCTGCTTGCTGTTGATTTGTTCTCATTTGATGCATTGCGGCCATTTGATGGGCCGCTGCTGCTTGTTGAGCTGCAGCTTGGGCCGGATGTTGCCCATTGGGTGGTGGTGCCTGTTGGCCGTAGTACACAGCAGCAGCCGCAGCTTGCATTCCTGGAGGTGGTTGAGCCATTTGGGGTGGTCCATTTGGCGGGACGGAGGGGCCTTGTGGTGGTGCTTGTGGCACAAACGATGACGGCGGTGGTGGTCCACACTGCATAGTTGCTGCTTGATAGGCTGCTTGAGGTGTCATCTGACCAAATGCACCTGCATTTTGTGCCTGATGTACATACGGAGACTGTTGTGGCGGTACTCCTGCATTCGACGGTGGTGCTGTGGGATTGCCAGGTTGTTGTTGGGGCGGTGGTGGATAACCTGGATATGCTTGGGGCGGTGGTCCTGGTGGTGGTCCTTGTGGTACATACATGGGTATTTGATTTGTCGGATAGAGATTGTGATGGTACATTCCCTGACAAAAACCATAGGCATTATAGGGCGCCATACCGACAGGAGGCATTGGTGGCACCTGCTGTTGGAAGTTTGGAGGAGCAGAAGTTACTACAACTGGTCCACCGGGTTGTCCCGGTTGACCACCAGGCGGTACTGGTGGACCACCCTGCAATGGTGGGCCAACCATGGCTTGCTGATTGACAGCCGCTGCAGCAGCTGCCGCTTGCTGTTGCATTTGCATTTCATGATGCTGGTGAGATTCTATGAGTGCAGATAGACTCACGGCTGCAGAATGATCCATATGGTCATCATGTTGATCATGCTCTCCGCCTCCATTGTTGGGTGTATTGCGCATATACAGCTCATACCAATATCGTGCCACCTGGAACAGAACTTCGGGATAAACTCCACCTCCCTTGGCAGCATTCTCCACGGTAATGCAAGCTCTCTCCAACATATAGTCGCTCTGTTCTTTGCATTGAAGAATTGCTCTCTGAATTTCATTCGGATTTAGAGCGGCAGCATGTGGCAATACAGATAAGGCCAATTCGGCTGCTGGGTAATTACTGTCCCAACCTCTGGAAGCGCGATCGGCCATGTTGGCAGCTTCGGGTGGCGTCAAATGACCCTCCCATGTGTCTATTAGGAAACTTATAGCTGGCGCACCAATTTCCATGGCCTGGCCCAAAATCCAAGAAACATGTGAAGAATAGGTACGAGATAACCAATTGGGACTGACACAGTTGTGTAATCCCAGGGCGTATAGGCCTAACTGAAAAGCGCACATATGCAGACCTCTATGCGGACCATGATGATTATGATTGGCCGTGGCCTGGGTAAACAATGACGTTGAACTATTACCTCCCGCTTTAACCAAAACCGTTTTGGCCAATTCGAACATGAAATGGGCACTGGCTTCAGAGGGTTGATTCGGTATTGATGGATATGCTCGTTTGCCTTTGTATCGTGAATCCTTAGCTCTGGTAGTGGTCTGTGTTGGTTGTGTACCCATGGCTGGGACATTGCTTTGTAGCCCCTGGCTATTTTGTTGGGCTGCAGCCATTAATGATGAATTGGCAGGAGATGAAATATTCAATCCCGCCATATTAACATCCAACTCAGCACTTGTAGAGCTGGTAGGACGACTATTGCCTCCAACAGAAGCATAATCCGCATGGTACATGTCCATATTACCACCAATGTTCTGGGCAGAACCACCAGCCATAGCTGCGGCATTATTGCCATGTCTATTGTAGTCACCACCATCTCCATGCCTATTTGCCGAATTGTTGGGTGTTCTTACCGGAGGATTATTGGAGTAGTAGGCTGGCAATAATGGCGTCTTTAGCAAGGTGTGTATTTCACGATCCAATAATTTTTCCATAATTTTGGCAATCTTGTGTGGGTCATCTTTATAGAAGTACAACAAAGTTAAAGCCAATTCGCCTCTCTGTCGGCGTGTACCTTCACACAACAGAGGATGTTCTGCTTCGGAGACATTCGCTTTAAGACCCAATGCTGCCACAGCAGCTTCAAAGCCAAGATTCTCATCAGTTATCGGTCGATAGATACTCATACTGCGAATTCGTTGATCTTTCATTGACACCGAAGGCATTACCAATGCATCGAAAATATATGACGCCAAATTGATGGGCAATAAAGCTTCCCCACGCGATTTCATGGTGCCATTACGCAAACGTTCAGCACGTGCGCGTATCACCTCCAATTCGGGTTCATCGATTGGTATTTTCTTCAAGAGCGTCAATATATCAGCTTCCTGATTGGCCAATTTAACTTCCAACGGTTTGGTGCTTGCCGGTGGACGTGCCATTTCCAAAGCAAAGATACAAATTCGAAATCCAATATGATAATGTTCTGAATTTTCCGAAAGTACAGTACAAAGGAAAGCGCATTTGGTCAAGGTGGCGGAGGCCAACACGGTTAGGTGATGAGAAATGGGATTGATATTTTTGTTCTTCCCTTTCCTTTTGGGAGCTGGTGGCATTTCCATCATTAGATTGGGAGGATTTTCCAGCATTTCTTCAGCCAAACGTACTGCCAGAATACAGGCCTCTCTTCCATGACCATGGGCATGTAGACCCTCAGCACGAGCCAATAGTATGTCCCAAGCATCTTCTGATGGTCTTAGATTTGAGAATATGTGTGGCTTTTCCGACGTTGTATTGGACGAGGTTGAAGGTCCCATATTCGTTGTTGAAAACGATGCCATGGCCTGGGCTGATGTTGAGGGTCCGACATATAATGCCGATGATGATGATGCCGTTGTTGTTGGAGTGGTAGCGTTATTTGTTTTATTGTTTAGAGGAGCAACTTCGTTGACAACTGTTGACGCCGAGGGTGAAAGAGAATTGCCTTGAGCCTTCATTAGAGCGGTCCTGGCTGCCGTTGATGTGCTTGGCACTGGCGTTAAATCCTCAGCCGAGCGGCCTTTGCCAACATCTTGGGTCACAAATTCATCACTTGATGATGAAAATGATTCATCCTTAGATATCCTTCTTATCTCTTGGCTTTTTAAAGGTTTGTCTGTTTCTATAGCACCACCAACACCGCTGCCAGGTGCCTCAGATCCCAGGGCAATCAACAGTGACGATGAGGACGAATTGGATGAGGAGGATGATGATGTTGAAGAGTCCGATGAAGATTGTGATGCAAGTGTGGCAACAATAGCTTTATTTGTGGGTGTTGCGGGCAATGAAAATCCAGACAATTTATTCTCTTCATCGGCCACATCCAAAGCATCGGGAGAGGAATCATTAAATGACTGCTGCGAATCGGATTGAGATATTGTTTTGGATGTTGACGGCTGTTGTTGCTGTGGCATTGGAAACTTATTGGGGTTTATACTACGACCGTTATCATTGTCAGATATGCATAGATTGTTGCTACTGCTGTCGCCACCGAAATCTTCATTTTCACAGAAACCTTCACTACTGGCACTTGACCGATTACCATCTCCGCCACCACCCATGCTCGATAGGGGAATACGTCTTGGTACGCCAGAAGATCCAGCAGCAGCAGCAGCGCACTGTGATGATGTGGAGGGTCTGTTATCGATAGATGATGACATATTATTTCCTCCCCCACCACCACTTCGTTCTGAGGCTTTTCCTAAATTACTGCTGTTTGCATTCGCAGAACTTGTTGAAGCTTCTCCACCAGCCACAACTTTAACACCTCCTGAATTTGCATTTCCAGATGCTGGTGCTTGTTGCTGCTGCGGTAAATCCAAACCTTGGTGTAAACGTGCATGAACACTGTCACTTGAAGAATTGCTGGAATTATTACTCGACGAGATGTAGAAACGTTCACGAAATGGCCTCTCCAGGCGTTGTTTGAATGCACCATGCTGTCCATGATCCGCTGATGAACTTATATAATTATAATGTTTATTATTGGCCATCAATGCCTGGGTGGCATTCAATTGCCCACCATTACTTTCACACTTATTTTCTGTGTGTTTAAAACATGTAAAGGGTGAATAGTAAATCGGATTTGTCTCATGCGTATGGGTGACACCTGCTATTGGATACTCTTCCCAATCTAAGTAGCAAGCCTCTATGGCTGGTTTAAAACCCACAAACATTTCTGCATCTGACCGCATGTTCTGTTGATGTTTATTATTATACGATGACGGCATCATACGACACTTAACTACACGATCCAAAATTTTTAAATGCCAGGCTGTAAATTGGGCATGTAGCATATCGCGTTCATCTGGTGCCAAACCTGGATTCAATGCAGCCAAACGCCAAAGAACAACAATTTCATCGAATAGCGAACTACAAGCGTGTTCGATGGCTTTTGAATTTGAATGTGTACTTGAGTGTTTACCGCCACTGTGACCATGTGAGCCCATCATTAGGGAGAGTTTTGTCTGATACCACCACAGTAGTAACTGATCGCATGCCATACACTGCTCCGTTATAATTTCCAATAGTCGTACAGCATTACGATCACAACGACGATACATTTCACGAACTATTGAGAGAAGATTCCACATACCTTCAGGTTCTCGTCCCCGCAAGGGTCGCAAGAGAGAACTCCATTCTGTGGCAGCTGGTGGGGCGGAATTTGTTAAATAATTTACATCGCTGCAAAGGGGAAATGGAGACAAATGTTAAATGGAATGAAAATTGAAAATATTTTTAAATAATAAAACAAAAACAAGTCAGTAGTTTATAATTTAAGTAAAAAAGGGATAGGAACTTTATATGTGTCAGCTATGCTAGGTAAATTGCTCCCAAGAGAAAACGAAATTCTAAACTACAGGCTGGACATTCAAAATACCTCAAAATTTATAGGAACTTTATATATGGAGCCTATGCTAGGCAAATTACGCCCAAGAGAAAACGACCGAAAATTATGTGAAAATTAGTCTCCCAATGAAAATGGAATGGAATGTGTCGCACACCTCAGGCTGTTCTAAAAGCTATTCTAAGTTTCTAGTTCGTTTTAGGGGGACTAACATTGAATTTAGACCCAGAGAGAGTAGACCAGGACCGGAAAATATTTACACTCAACTTAATGAAGTGTCTGCTTCAATACTAATCCAGAGAATGGGCGAAGAAGATCCTAATTTATAAATTTGAAAAATGTATGGCCATACATCATATGAATTTTGTAATTTATCATTAATTGACACGATGAATTTGAATTACAGATACGAGATAGCCGACGAGCTTGCTCGAGGGGCTCACAATCGTCCAATCTTCCGATTGAGATCTGTGCAACCACCCATTGTCTATTTCATTGGCAAAATCCGCTTGTTCTACGTCGAGGTAGTCGGTAACAGATGGTCGAGAGAACCTGGTTGCAGAACCTCATAAGCTATCTGGCCTGAATTCTCTCGCCGAAGAACTCGCTGTTGGCACATATTAGGAGAGAGATCAAAATCATTGTAGGTATCATAACAGGTCACTGAAGGATTTGATCTCTCACTTCGAAATTGGACTTCCGCTGGAGTTTATGATTATTGTCGTCTATGTGAGGTCGAAGAAGAGCTAGAAGCAATTGAAATTATCCTCTGTAGATGTCAATAATCTGGCATGGCTAAAATAACCATCTCTAGGCTCTCCTTCTCCTACTATTTTCTCCTCCCTCTTCCACTCTCTCTTCTTTTCCCGTTTTCTTTTTAGGTATAACGGATGATCACGAGTGGACGGTACATCCCTAACCTAAAATAACCTTGATTTACAAGGAAAGTAAATAAATTGGATTGAGTTCATGTGACTAAATCAGTAAATGTTTCTAGTTGCATGCGGAAGGTAGAAGAATGTGAAATTTTTGGATTAAATTTAAATCGTATGTAGTCTCAAATAGTAAATTTTTAATATATAGCTCCTAATAGCAGTTTTTAAATGTGTCTTTGTGTATTATTTATTTAGTGTTGTTCTTCACGTCTGTAATTACTTACCTATAAACCATTGGAGCTGGCATAACAAATTTTATGAGAATACGTTTGATATTTTCATGTAATGTCTTCTCATCCAAATACCAATTTGTTTGATCATTTATTGATGCACCTGCTGTTGGATCGGGAGCTCCACATACTGTATTTATTGCCGTTGGTTGTTCACTCAGCAGTTCATCCAACAGACGTTGAGCTGTGGGCAGTATTTGTTGGGGCAATTCACTTATTAAATATTGGGCGAATTTTTGCAATTGATCCCGCTGTAAACGGGTCAATGATTCCGAGACAGGAGCTCTTAAACACACCTCCAAAGCCTTGAATAATTAATAAAAAACAAAAGGAAAAGAATGCAAAGAAAACATGTTAAGGAGTATAAGCAAAAAATATGAAAATTGCCATAATTAGGAATTCGGTTAAATTACAAACTAGCCATACCGCCGCCAACGCTATGGAACAATGGCAACGACAAACAATGACAATACAGGAACAAAAACTACAACAAAATACAATATTCCATGCATGCTATTTTCTTGTGGCATATTGTCATGGTTGTGGTGGTATTGCTCATTTGTGGCAAACATAACCGCCACCTCACCACCTCATCTTCCATGCATTACTTACACAATGTATTCGATGTAAACAAACGGCCACAACGTGAGAACACCAATATGCACTTGAATTGCATGTGCAATTACATGACGATATACGTCTTCGATCGAAGGTAACGGCCACATTAAAATTCTGGCTAGGTGTTTGACATACTACCGTTGCGGAAAGGTGGAAACCTGCAAAGAATTATAATTATAATGATAAGTGGTTTTGTCTTGTTGCTTGTTTATATGGGTGTGTGTGTGAAAGGATGTGCGTGTGAGTGCGTATATTTTTGTGTACTTACCAATTTGTAAGGGATCTTTGACTGCACCAGTTTTAAATAACTGGTCACCACGATTAAATTCATCAGATGAACTATTTGCTAAACACGAATATAAACGAATATCTTCTTCATTATCGGGAAAACTCCAGAATGCAATACGTAATTGCAATTGTTCTGGTACAGGTGGATAGACATGTTCCACCAGTTCGAAGGGTATATAGGAGGCAACACATTTTGCTGCCAATTCTGTAAGTGTTGGAACTTCTGAAAATAGATGCAAAAAATAAGAGGAAATTTTAATGTTGTTATTTGAAAATAAAATTGCATAATTTCGAAATGGTGGATTTCAAACCCTCACAAAGAAACCCATTGATACAGAGGACAAAAAAACCCCATAATAGTATAGAATAGTAAGATACCTCTTGATTGAAAGAATTTCAAAATCTCGTTCACGTGGATTAAAATAAGCTCAAGCATTTTTATAGTGTATCCAAATCATTCAGACCACAGCACAAACTCTATGTGAAAAAAAATAATCCACAAACTGTTTCATTATCAAATTTCAGAAACAGGGATCGTGACAGAGAAACATGAAGTAGTGGGGACCAAACCTCTCTCAGGCATAGTGGTTGCGAATATGATGCGATCTTTAGATGACAACAACCAGCGGAGAAATGGCATCGAAATGCCATCATGAAGGATTTTCATGATCTGGAGAGAGAGAGAGGTCAAACGGTACAAAAAGGAGGCCTATCAAGCAGGATTGAGTCGTATTCACACGGATGCAGTTGAGGGAGACATTTGATAACATCGTGTGAATACAATCCTCGACGATCGTCGGGCACAACTGAAATCAGGATGGTATAGCCGTCTCAATTCTTATGGACCATTACCACATGTCGGACAATAATACCTGTCCGGCATGTGGTAAGGGTCCACATGACACGCTACACCTTTTTAACTGCCCAGCCAAACACACTCATCTAACACCATTTTCACATTCGACACAACCGATTAATTTTATAGTCAAAACCTTCTATTTGTTGAGATCAAATTATATAAAGAGATCAGGATCAATAATTGTGGAAGTAAAGAGTCTGCTGAATCCTAAGTATTTGGACGATAATGTGTCATGATCATAAACTTGCAGCAACGATCCCAAGTCTATGGAAAGAAGGAAATGTGACTTTTATTTCCAAGACCCGACAGTTTTTATTTAAATAAAATCTACAAAGCACGGAATATATGTCAAATTCCTTGATGCAGCATTTTACAATGTAGAGTAAAGGTCCCACTTCCGTCTAAGTGAAGATAATGAGGAAGTGGGGGCGATTGAAATTCTACTTTGCATATAATGTAGATACTGGAACGTTCATTCAAATTTTACTCAAAATCATCTGTAGGGAAGCAACCACTGCTAATTTTAATCTACTTAGCGATTCATTATGCAATCACAGTACTATATTCCAATATTTTTGAGAATGACTTGCTCCACATTCTGGACATAACCGAGTCTATAATGGTATTAACCTTCTGGCATAAAAATTTTAACCTTAAATAACAGCTTGTGTCTGTAACAATCAAGTGTCATTAACATTATTCTATTAACCTATCACAGAGAGAGAATATTCTACCTCCAAATAGAAAAGAAAACAACAACAATGAAACGTATTGTAAAACTCATACTCACAATTATTATCTACAGACAATGACTCCTTTTGCCTTCACAAACAATAAACAGCAGTGTTATTATTACAATATTTATCATTATCATCACCATCAGCCACAACAAAATCATTATCCAAACCGTCAGAAGGTGAATATAGCCAAATATAAATTATAATAACCTAAACATGGCAAAACAAAATAAACAAACAAACATACACATACACAATGAAGCGGCGATGATGAAGAAATAAAGAAGAACGAAAAATACAAGTCAAAGGATAAATAATGTTTCTTTGTTCCAAAATAAACGACAACAAAGGGCCATTGGTTGGTTGGTGGCTTCGGGGGGCAAATAGCGTCAAATACAATAACACAACATTTCAATGACATTGGTGAAGCTATTGCCCTCATATTGAACTTTTCTTGTAAAAGAGGCAAAATGAGGTATAACTGCAAAATGTTGACAAAATTTATTGTGCAACAAAAATTTCGATTTCACGCCACAAAATAATGCCCTCCAATCATTTTCATAAGTGGGCTGGGATTGCTCTTGGACAAAAAAAAAATATGGAGATTTTAGGGGGACAGAAACCTTTAAGATTTTTACCCGATTCCGATGCGAATTTATTTCTAGGAGCGACGACATATTCCTTCTCTACATTTGGTTCGGTACATGGTTGTGATGGTTAAGCTCTCGGATCAGATTCGATCAATGTCTTCTAGCAATGCAAATCTATTTTGGCAGATGACTTGATTTTATCCTGATGGCATTTCCGATGATTGACATATTCTTGGTCGTTTGGATTAAAAACAGTGTCCTTAGCTTTTGAATTGGTGTTGATATTCCTAGACTTGGGAAGACTTTTGGGATATTACAAAATGTTCAAATGGTTTATCTGGTTTATTTCCTTTCGTATATCCCCTGTTTTGTCAGGAGGTACATTTTCAGATAAAGCCAAATTGGAACATGGTGTGTGACTCTTGTCTATATGCTGGGTATGGTAGTAATTCCCGCACTATCCTGATCTAAGATTAATCGTGTTTCTTCACAGAATGTTCATGGCCTTTAAGGTATTGTTCTACTGTCTGAGCGACTGTATTTGTATCAATGTTATTTCAAGCTGTCTGATAGGCCTGTGTTTATCTAGAGCTTCGAGCTGGTAACTTTGCACCACTCTCTCTCTCTCTCTAGATCATGATCATTCCTTCTAACGCGTCTGTGAGAATGGAGAGGGGAAAGCCTATCACGCATGTGTTTGAATGTGTTTATAAAGGGTTTATATATTATACCCCTCATGAAGTTGTCATCACTTCAATCTGCAACTGAATTGAAAGCAATATTGTTAACGAAATCTATGGTGAATATCCCAAAATTACCTCAAGATATTGTGTGTAGCGGTCGACAGCTTTTTCATATTGACTGCACAAGACACTTCTATATTCGATCAGATAACAAGTAAAAAAGTGTCAGACAATAGGTTGTGAAAAACTTGGTTCAAATCGGACATTCAATTCGGCTGACATTGGATTTATATCGCCTTAAATTGGATATATAAATATTGAAATTTTCGATCAATTGAGGGGGAGGTACCAGAAGGAGTGGACCAATGGGTCCAATTTTCATTCTTGATCCAGGCTTGGTAAAGATAATAGGCTGTGCAAAGTTTGGTTTAAATCGGACATTCCATTTGCCTGTTATTGGATTTATAAATATTGAAAATTTAGAACCTCTGTAGGGGAGGTACCAGAAGGAGTGAACCAATGGGTCCCATCTTCCTACTTTATATAGACTTGGTAAAGACAATAGGTTGTACAATGTTTCGTTAAAATCGGATAGTCCGTTTTTTGGGGGAGGTACCAGAAGGAGTGGGCCGATATTCCCCATCTTCGAACTTAAACTAAGTTTGGAAGAAATATTAGGATGTGCAAAGTTTGGATGAAATCGATTATTCCCTTAGAGAGTTATCGTGCGCAACAGCCAGCCAGACAGACGGACAACGCACGGACAGACATGGCAAAATCGACTCCAAATTTTCTGAAACGGATTTGGTCCAAAGAAACATGGGATCTAAAAACAATATTTCAATGAGGCACATCTTCACCGTATCAAAGTGTATATACTCTCATTAGCCATAAGGCTGAGGGTATAAAAAGTAGGAACGATGTTCAAGTCGCGATAGAACTTTTGGAGCTGTCAAAGAAAGCTGTTATAAAGAAATAGGAAGGCCAGTGATAAGCTGTACGGATCCAGTGTGGTTTGCGAATGATCGTGGTAAACTGTAGATAGACTTTCAGACCTGCGATAATGCTGTGTGTGGAACTGCATCAGGCAGACAAAAAACATACCGTCTATTGGCATAACAAATGCAGCCATAGCCTTTTGTGGAGACATCGTCCACCCAGGTACGCCCGGAGAGATCTTCTTAATCTAGAGGCATATCATCCATAGCAGCAGAGGAGAAGCAGCTGCCTACACAAATACGACTTGTCTTAGCAAAACAATGTTCAGGACGGTGCAACCGCTTCATGTTTTCATGTAAACATGTTGTGCTAATTTTATTTAAATATATAGGGAATTTCTACCGCAATGGTCATTGTTTTTAAAAGTGAACTTGATCGTATTTCCTATGTTATTATGTCTCAATAACTATTTTCCAATACATATTTGACCCTATGCTAATTTCATAAAGTTCATGAAGAAGTTTAAATTACTATTGGTTTCATTTCATATTTCTTTAAAATAATAACAACAGCAATGACATTGTTGTACGACATAAAGAAATATATCAGTTAACAGGGAATCATAGCACGCACCTTCTGTATTCTTCTGTATGTTCCAATATCAAGTTGTAAGACCCAATGAGAAGAGCAATTGTCATGCCAGAGTAGGCAACATACATACAGTCAAAAACAACAATAACAACCAAAACACTCAGACTGTTCACCTCGAATACGATTAAAGTAATGGGAGAAGATGAAAATCGTGAAGATGATGCTGCAGTGCAGACACACAAACACACAACACAAGTTGACAATACAATGTTTACAACGTTCCTCAAAATGTAGGAACACAACTCGGGATTTTTTTTTTTGAGAGGTAGGGGTGGAGAGGTAGTTTGAAGTCTAAAGTAAATTTCGCGTTTAATATCGCTCGTGGTTGTAGCTGATGTTAATTTCATTAAAAAGATATCAAAACGAAGCAACTCACATACACACACTCCAACAGATTCAAGCAAAAATTGAATCCTTGAAGGGGTTCCTTGACACCGAAACGAAAATGAACACTGGATAGGCAAAGCAAAATAAAAACTCATCACTGAACGAACGGTAAAGGACTTTACGATATATTGGTAAGGCTTTGGTTTCTTATCTTTTTTCCCCATTGTGTTCCTTTTACGTTAATAATTTACTTTTGATATGCAAAGTATTTTGGGGGACAGTGTAAATAGGGGAAAAATTAAATGATTTTTGGGGAAAACCTCACAGGCATCGCGTGGAAAACAAAGCCAGACTCAAACTTGATATAGGAATAACATATAGAAATTCAAAAACGACAAAGTGGCATCAATTTTTTTCAAAAGCAATAGCTGATATTTAAAAACCAAAAAAATAAGTGCCCCACGGATCAGCTCTTCTAAATTGGACCTGCTGATGTCGATGTACTTAATTAATTCATATTGCCGATAAAAAAGAAACTGTATATAATCGCCTGGTACTGCAGGATTTCAATACCCATCATCTGGACGGCACCTCATTGTTTTCGTCAACAAACCTTAAGGGTTTAGTTGCACAATTTACATAAAATAGAAGACGAAAATATATATTGGAGCTATATTTAAATATGAACCGATTTTCACGAAACTTAACACACATCATTCTAGATTTAATTCAGTACGCTTTGCTAAATTTCGTCCAACTCGAAAGATATACAGAGAGGTTGGGACACCATTTACATTAAATCGGAAGAAATTTATACGGGAGCTTTATATATATCTTAACCGATTTTCACGAAACTTAACACACATCATTGTAGACATTGTACTCTATGCCACATTTCTTTTCAAAAGATATATATGTACTTTGGTGCACCATTTACATTACATCGAAAATACATATATGGAGCTATATCTAAAGTTGAACCGATTTTCACGATACTTAACACACATCATTCTAGTCGCAATTCAGTACGCTATGTCAAATTTCGTGCAAATCGAAAGATATAAGGGATCATGTTACGCCATTTACATAAAATGGGACCAAATTTCAGCGAAGTCGGGAGAAAAACACGCTAAAGATCCATAAAATACCTAAAATTATAGGGTACCGTTATGTGGGGGATACTAGAAAAAGTGGACCTATATTTATAATTTTTAGTGGAGAAATTTGGTACCCAATAAGAACCCAATGTACCAAATTACAGCGAATTCAGTTGAAAAATGTACTCATGTGCACCTAAATACCGAAAATTGGGGGTACCCTTATATGGGAGCTATGACTAAACATGGACCGATATAGCCCATCTTGGAACTTTGGAATCCGACCCCAAGACAAAATTGTATGTCATTTCCTCATATTTCAGTTACTCGTGCTAACGAGCAATAATGATCGATATTGGCAGATTGAAAGCCTTCGACCACTTTAAACATTTTAAGCTGTTCGAGGGTATAGAGATAACTAAGGTACGACCGGACTTGAAGTATTGGTCGATCAGAACTTATGCGAATAATTGTACGATCATTACCGAATGTTATCGGTACAGAATCTGCTTAACAGTTATCATCAGAGACACCTCTGCATGATCTAGAGCGAGAGGTTCAGCGGATGGAGTGGCCCAGGAAGTAGAACAGTACAGTATTAATGGCATAATTGGAAATCATCTACCATTCATAGCAGCAGAGAAGAAACATTTTTCAAAACAAACACGAAGTCCTCTTCCTTTGGAGCTATCGTCGGAAACATTGCTTTGTAGGGGGGTAACCGAGGATAACACCTCTTGCATAGACTTATGGACAGACAGACTTACAGACTTTTCCCACCAGGTATGATCTTCGAGGGATCTTCGTGAGTTCCAAAGGTTGGTCAAGTAGGTCTGAATGGCGTACATAGAAATGCAGCCGATACTAGTTGCATCCTTAAAGAATATCGATGCAGTACAGTCAGAATAAAGAAATACATTACATTTCCCTGCTTGTATTCAATGCAAAAGCACGCCTTTCCTAGTTTTCCAGGACGCATATCTCTGTATTGCAGACGAAGCTAATGTCGACTGGAGGCAAACATGCTGAAAAATTGTTTTTAACCTTGTCTTATCATTGAAACCTTCAGAAACGAAAAATACATAATTGAGCATAAATGCTTATGTTAGTATTATGTTGTGGCACATAATATACGAATGCTGAAACATATCAACATACAAATATATATATATATATTATGTACAAAATTGTTACTTTAAATTCCCCTCTCATCTTGCAGTTATGTTGATTTGCGATTGCATCGTAAATTATGCATTAAATCTCAAATCAATGTCAATTTACGAATTCATCTTTCGGATCAAGCTGGCTGGTTTGCTGTCTGTCGAACTGGCTGACTGACTGCAGGCTAAATCTGAAAATACATATTGCAATGAAATATTTTAAAGGAAGGCATACAAAATAATCACCAGTCAAACCAAACTATAAGAGTCGGAGGGGGCATTCAAGTAAGGTATATGAAGAAGTATTTTGTTACAATAATGTCTGTTTGTCTGACTTTCTGTCGAATTTGCCGCATGTCTGTGTGTCTGATGCTACATGAACACAAACATGTTTATGTGCCACCATAGGGAGGAACAATGATTTGAACAGGACATCATTTAAGTTACAGGCGACAGACATTTGGTACGTTGTTTTCAACGGGGCAAACACAGAACAATGGTTTAAACATTAACTGCAGAGTTCAGATGCGTTTTGTTTTTTTTTTTTTCAAAAGCGCGAATAAATGTATGTGCACTGTCTGCTTGCATCAAAAAAAAATCAACAACACTCGCAGCTATACAACAAAACGCTTCATGTTCTGGCAACAATGTTTTTCCCCCAAATGTTGTATTTCGTATTTTAAAATGTTGCTTTCTGTTATGTATGTATGTTTTCGTTTCTTCACGTTCTATTGGCACTGACACGAGATGAATTCAATGTTTCTTTTTCTTCAAGCCCTTTTGCTTTTGCTGCTTGCTTCCCTGTCAATTACCACAGAAATTATTGTTGCTTTTGTTTTTATTTATTCGTGATTTTTAAACGTTAAATGTTTATTGCAGGGCAGCAAAAACAAAAAGAGAATGCAACGATTCTAAATATAAATCGGCAAATAAATATGGATGATGCCAATCAATGAATGGACGGACGAGTGGATGGAAAGGAGCCTGTTATTGCAATGGTTTTTGGTTTTTGCTATGGGCAAATCAATCAAAGCTGGATTTAATCATCAACGATTTTTACTCTGCGATTGGAATACCATTGCCAGTGATTGGGAAAAATAAGACACTCAAATAAATATTTATTGTTTTATTATCTTTTCACACAATTTATTGGCGAAAACAGGCATAGTGAGAATTAGAGAATAAAATTTAGGGAAAGAAATGATTTAACTTGAATCTCCATAAAAAATCACTCACTGATATCAAGTCATGCGTGTAGCAGAATTGAATTAAAAGAAAGACACGACCAATCATCAGTTGAGTTTTGTAATGCCCCCGGAAAGTTGAGAACCTTGTATTTTGTGTGCCTTTTATCATTTCCATTCAAACATATAGGTATCAATTTGAACAAAGTGCTGATTAAAAAAATTATTTTATATTTTTGATACTTCCTTAGAGTTGAGGCTTCCAAAATTCAATTATATAGAACAAATATAATTAACATATGCCAAAATCGATTGTGAACCAGAATTACCTTTGAGATACTTCTATAAAACAATTCAATTCAAAGTCAAATCTCTGTAAAGGAGAGATGGGGCAGAGGAACGTTCAAAATATCGTTTTGAGTTGGTATCGGAGACAATTAAAACATCTAGTAATAGTACTGTGGACTCTCTAATAGGATTCGGAACTGTAATTTAACACAAATGAACGAAATGTTCAATAGGAACATTGGATTTATGACGAAAAATCTTGTCCAAAAACTCAAAGGTTACATATTGTGATGTGGAGGAAGGATTGCTGGTATTCTAGACTTTCGAATAGAAGGAACATATTTGTGATCTTAAATGTCTTATAGCAGTGACATATTACATGGTTTTTATGAGATCCAATTTCTCTTTTATATCTCATCTATGGGAGGAACGCCAAACATGAGTGGCTTCTTTCATTTGTCTCCTTTCAGGGGGAAGATAATATTTATATATTGGTCGAATATTGAATATTGTCAGGTTTCAAATACACATGCAATCTATTTCCAATTGCGCGGGGAACCTGCAAAGCCATCTGGCCTGTGCGCTACCTACTGATGAAACTACTAGGACATACGTTTCCAGAGGGGTCTACGATACGAAACGAACCGAGTCTTTCTCGGCCAACGTCTGTCACCTCAGCCCATTGTGTAAAAGCAATAGGGATGTTACAACGACAACTAGAACATATGGCAGATAATCTTTTGTTTAAAATTAAATATTTTTCCCCTTACAAAACAATCTGGAAATGGTCAATCGACGTTTTATTAACCATAAAATTAAGTCAATCATGCAAGATTCTAATGTATAGATCTTCGAACTAATTTTTTCCCTAAAAAAAAGTGAATTACACAGAAACCATCATTATGTTATAATCAGCTAATTTATTGCTTACCTGTTCCTTTGCCACAATTTCCATTTGCTGTGGCATCAATGCCAATATTTCCTGTTGCGGTTGTAGAACCATTGCCTATGCCAAAATTTGATGGTTTCTTCCAACCTCTCCAATTATTATACAATGATTCGGGTTCTGAACTCCAACTGCATAGAGAATCTTCTTCGAAACGATCGGAATCATCAAAACTATAACGTTCTAAATCCTCTTGGACCCAATCAACGGCAGCTGCACCACCACCACCACCTGCTCCGCCTGCTGCTGCAGCATTGGCACCTTCAGGTGCTTGTATCGGTATGGGTGGATTTCGACTTCGATTCTGTACATGATCTGAACCACCAGCATTATTGTTATTATTATTGGCAGCCTGATTGTTATTACGATTAACCATGATGATGCTGTAGGTATTTGTATTATAGAATAGTTAAGGGTGGTGATGGTAAAGTTGACGAACAAATATTATATTATATATTTACAAGAAGTTGTTTATGTTTAAAGTATGTTAAAATTCTAATTTCATTAAAACTAGTTTCTTAGCTGCTTTTTGAAATTGTTTAAAGTTTTGTTTTCTTTGCACTCCCGACAACGCGACTGGGTTTGTATTTTTTGCCAATAGTTTATTTCGTGTACGTGTGTGGGTGAATTTAACAAAAGTGTCGATTTGCTGGTTTAATTTTTTTATGGATTATTAATGCAGATGAGTTGGTTTCAAGCCGTCGTAAAATTATAAAGTAGTGACTTTGCTTTTTTTCTTTGCTTTGCCGTTTTTTGACACAATGGAAACAAATAAAATGGGGGAATGAATGTTTTCTTGTATATTTCTTTTTTTCTTTTCTGTTTCTTCTTCTTTTCGTAGTTCTTCTCCACCACACAACACTACCAGCCAAGTCCTTTTACGATTTTCGTCTTTTGTTTCACTTTATTACCCCCCACAGATGTTTTGTTGTTTGATGCTGCTTCTGCCAAACGATGATGCTGCTTCTTCGACTGCCGATGCTTGTTTATTTTTGCCTTTTCCCTATAGAAACTGAATAACGGACGAACATACAACTGCGCGGCGGCAAGGGCTTTTGGCAGGCAGTAATAAAAAGGTCAATTTGTTGTTGTTGTTTGCTGCTGATACTCAAAAGTAAATGTATTCAAATTCTCTTTGTTATTACAAGACGAGTAGGGTTCACATCGGCCAATATGAGGCTTATGACAAATTATGACGTTCTCTTTTGCATTTTCCTTCATATATTTTTTGGAATTATACACGGACAATATATTTTGGATGATTACTACAGAACCACTCCATTAGAGTTCTAAACACATTTAAACAGGGAGTGCGCGCTCACATCAAACCAGTCTGATGGCTGTGTAATGACAACTTACATTTATTTACAAGTACATTCACTTTCACTCATTGTCAACGCTCTCCTCTCTTTCTCACACTGTCACTGTTCTTGGTGTATCTCTCTGTTCCTTTTTATTCTCAATTACATTGAATTTATGTATTTTGTCTTGTACATTTTTTTGTCAACAATATCAAAAAATAGAATGATAATTCCAAATAAATGCACGACAATGTACTTTCAAGAAGACACACTAACAAAATGGAAATACAACACACTCAGCAGAATACACCAAAAGAATCTTGTTTTTGTGTTAAGGTTGGTCGGTGTTTGCGTTTTGTTGTTGCCGCTGCTCTGTTACTGCTACACTGTAGACGCTGGCGTCGATCGTTGGTCTCTGTGGACGCAGTCGATGCTATTTGTTATTGTTAGTGCATTGACTTCTTAAAGGTGGTTTTCAAACAACAAACACACACCATCACTCACACACTGACCATTTGTACACAGTAATGAAGTAATGCAACGCACAATCAACTCGCGACAGAGAATGGCAAAGTGACAAAACTCCAGCTTCACTCTTGTCTATATTGTTTCTTTTGTTTTTTTTTATGTATTTGAGTATTCGTTGTTTTTGGGGGAATCGTACGAACGCGCACACACAATCGCTCTCATACACAAACACAAAACAAAAACAGCTGCTATAACACTTGGCCCCAACACCTGAATTTGCTTATGCCGTTGTTGCCGTAGTTAATTCGCTTTGTTTGATTTTCTTGTAACAAATTCGCCTTAACATGTCGCAAAATTGCTGGTGTTTTCCTTTTTCGATTCTCACCCCCACCCAAACATCATTATTGTTTTCTAAATTCTTTTCACTTTTTATTTCTCACCAAAATATTTTTCACTTCTCTCTTTCTGCTTTCTTCTTATTGTTTTTCAATTGTTTTTGCTGTGGTTGTTTCTCTGCCACTTCTTCTTATTTTTCGTTTACCTTAATATTACATTACCAAATTTTTTTAACTTGAAATTAATATTGTTGAAAATGGAATTGAATTGTTGATGGAAATTGTTTTTACAAATTCTCACTTGCTATTTTCCCAGATATAGTTACACACTCTCACATATTTTGCAATTTTCTTTTCATTTGCTTGGTCGACTTTGAAAAGAAGAAAAAAATATTTTTTTTGTTGGACGACCTTAGAGATGTTACATTTTTTCACTTGATATTTTCGTGTTATATTCACATGTTGTTTGTTGTTATTTTATGGGTTTCCACTAAAAACTATTATCCTTTTGTTGTTTGTATGGATTTCAATTGATAATTGTGAGGACTACAGTAAAAATTTAAAATTTTCCGTCGCGTCGTTGGGAGCTATCCTTATAAAAACTTTGTTCAATTATCAGCGAATAGAGTTGTGTCGTTCGGAAAAGAATTTGTTCAATGGAACAACTCCGTGAAATGAACGATGGGAACGATTTCCAGTTCATTCGTCTATCGAATTACTTTAGTTCACCTAGTTCACTTCGCTCAATGAATGGAATCTATGTTGATTTGAATGCATTAATATGTGTGCTTTCAATAATTCGTTTTGTTTCTAAAATATTAAATTTAAATAAATCTATAATGATATCTTCTTTTATAAATATTTAATCAAATCATGACATGACAATAATAAAAAGTAGGCTATAACAAAATGTTCCAAAATGTGCAAAAATATTTGTTTCATCTTGCTGCTTGTTATGCCAATACCATATAATATATTCAGATGTTTCAATATGTATGTATTGACAATGTTCGGAAGAAAAATATATCTGATTTGTGTAATGAATCAATTTTTTAAATATATTCCCAACTCGATAATATGCGTTTTTAACCTAAACCAAAAACGGCTTTTACATCAGAACTTTTTACTTGGTTAACCTACTTTATAAGGATTTATTAGGCATGCATTCAAAGGAATTGTCAAATTAAACCCACTGGGTTAACGAAATCCAATACTATAACAGGCAAATCTGTTCCCAAACTGTCAAACATTTTTGTATATAATTGTTTTCAACGACGAGGTTGATTTGTGCTCAATGGTAAAGGAGCTGAGTTTACCTCGATTTACCAGACAATATTAAATTCAATCAATTTCTCGATTTGGCCGAAATTTTATGCTAAAACGGTGTATACATTAGAACTTTAACCTACTTTATGAGGATTTATTTGGCATATATGCAAATGAATTGACAATTGAAACTCACTGGGTAACGAAATCCCTTTAAATGTAAACGTACTGTAAATCAAGATAATTACAAATACAAACCTGCTTTTGCACCAAAAAATTAATCACATCTCCTGAAATATTTCTTTAAAATACATTTACATTCAAAAAAGTTGAGCAACAAATATATATATGAAAAATATAATGATTGTTAAAGTGAATTTACATATAACATTTAATCTGGATTAAAGGCTGAAGCAGAGTTTATTTTCTTAATCAGTTGACAAATCAACTTTATATTATTCAAATACTAGTCTAAACAGCTAGGATTTGGTCTCTCGATTTACCACGTACTGTAAACTAAAAAAATTTGATTTTAACTAAATTTTTTTAATGGAATTTTATAATTATGGCTTTTTTATTTCTCAAATCCCTATTATTTGTTTTCTCTTAAGGGAACTCTCCCCATTCTGGATTTTAAATTTTCAAGAATTTCAATGGGCTGGTAAATGAATACCAGTGCTTGTTAAGAATATTAACTTTGCACATATATATATATATATATATATATATTTAAAAGGGAAGAAAAATAATTAACAATTTTTTTGTTATTGTTGTTTTAGTGTAGGTTCGAATCAGATCAAAAAACAATTTTTTTTTTTTTTTGAAACAGAGAGAATGAGAATTGTTGGCCTTAAAAAGACAAAATCATTTCAGCTACTCAGTGCACATATCGGTTAAATCTATTAAATAAAAAGATGAGAAATCCGAGACGAAAATGAAACGAAAAGAAAAATCCTTTAATAATTATTTATTCCAGTACTTTTTTTAGTAAAACTAATAATAGGGAAAATTTTCAAAATCGCTCTCAGAGTTCAAAATTATACGAAATATTCTCGAAAGGAAATCTAGTAAAAATGCCAACACTTCAAAATCAACAAAAAATCAATCAGAAATAGGCATTCCTGTTTACTCAGCCAAATTTCTCGAGTAAAAGGATTAAAAATAGAAAGCCATTTTGTTTTGTGTTCTCATATATTTGGTTGAAGTTTGGTGGGAACGGCTTTCGAGTAAAATGTAAATTAGTAGAATATTTTAGGTTCAGGACGGAAATAATATCAATTCAACTTTATAAGTCAGTAGTCACACGGGCAATTTTTGTGGTAAAGTAAATTGAGTTTATGGGCAAGGAGAGGAATAAAAGGAGGTACAGACATACTTGTACTCCGCAATTCTGTTTTGTTTCGTTGTAAAAAACTGAAGTTATTACAAAATTCATAAATTTGATGCTTTATTGCATCAGCTGCGCTAAATGGACTACCCATGGCACAATGAATATGTAGTCCATTTAGCGCAGCTGAGGTCTTGATTAACTGTCAAAGTGGGTAAATTCTACTTGAATTCGATGTGCAGTGTTGCCAACCGTTTGAAAAATTATATTGAAAATTTTGACAGATAATCGAGACAAAAACAGAGGTTTTTTTTTGATACAGCACCTTATTATTGCATCATGGCACAATGAATAGATAGTCCATTTAGCGCAGCTGATGTCTTGATTAACTGTCAACGTGGGTAAATTCTACTTGAATTCGTTGTGCAGTGTTGCCAACCATTTAAAATATTATATGGAAAAAATTGACAGATACTCGAGACAAAAACAAAGGTTGTTGTTGTCATACATCACCTTATTATTGCATCAAGGGACTACCTATTCATTGTGCCATGTACTGACTATTCAGCTTTCAAAATTTAAATGAAAATGTCTTCCTTCGAAAAGTACGCAAATTATGTGTTCACTGTCAAAAATTTTTAAATAATTTATATTTATAAATATGTTGAAGTTCACTGCCTCTAAAACGTATAAGTATAGGATGTAACAACCATGGTTAAATCTCTTTAGAAAAAATATATATTTTTTTAATTTGTTGAAAACATGCCAATCAACATACATAAAATTGTATGGAATTTCTTTTCATTTTATTTGAAATTAATATATGAATTCGATATTAAAAATTGTTGTCATTATCAATTCCTCAAATGAAACTACCTTGTATAGTTATGCCACGGAAATTTATATATAAATTCCAAAATAAAAAGGGTGGCCATTATCAATTTCTCAAAAGAGACTACCTTCTGTAAGTCTGCTTTTACACAGCCAGATTTTTATTTGGCAAATTTTTTGTTTTCTCTTTTGAAATTTTCGCTTGCTTTTCAATTAGCAAATTTTTCTTTGCCAAATTTGCGAATCAAAATACAAAAGAAAGAAAAAAAGTCAAAAGTATTTGCATTTTAAAGATTTTTTTTTAATATTTTATTTATTTTTTAAATATTTTATTATATAAATTGCAAAAATTAAAAATTAAATTTCACTTGCAGAAATGAAAGCGACAGGTTTGTAAACAAAAGCCGGCTGTGTGTTAGTAAAGCGAATAGGTTCAAAAGGAAATGTCAACAAAATTGTTTTCAACGAACAGAGCTAATCAGAATTTGCGTGTACGGCAAATTCTGAACAGGCAAATTTTTGTTCTTCTTCCTCGCACCCCACTCGCCAACAAACTCAGTATTTGCTAAATAAAAATTTGCCTGTGGAAAAGCAGACTAATTATGTCATGGTCAAATAATTTGAAATATATTCAAATTTAATTGAAATGAAAATGATGTTTTTAAAGCGTCCTTCTGGAAATAATTACTTTGTTATGGATATTCCCTACTGGATTTTGGAAAGAAATCATAATATTTTATTAATTTTTTAGTTATGTATGGAAAAAATGTTAAATAAACACAACCATTTCTTGACAGAAGAAACCACCAACTACATAGTTGCTTTTATGTTATTCAACTCAAGCTGACCTACCTTGTATGCCTTTAACTACACTGTGCAGCTCTAAAATCTTGAACCAATCGAGACCGCCAAAATCTGAAAGCTTGTGATGGTTAAAGAAAACCTCTAGCTATATTTTGATATTAGGAAAAAGAAATCCATTATTTTTTCGGAAGATGGTTGTGAGAAATTAATAATGGCAACACTTTTTAATTTGGAATACATGTATCAATTTCAAATTGTTTGAAAAATAAATTCCATACAATTTTATGCATGCCAAATTGCATATTTTTTCGTGCGTACATTTCGAAGGAGGATATTTTCATTTAAATTTTGAAAGCTGAATGTTGTCAAAAGTAAAATTATGAAAAAAATTGGAATCGTATGTCTGCATGAGACTACCTTTTGTAATCATGCCATGGCTGTACTAATAGATTTCTCGTAAAGTATCAATCAAAAATATCAGATTTATGCTCTTTGGAAGGGTGACATTTCGCAGTAAAAAAAATTATGTTGCAGTTTTCTGATTGGTGCTTTCAGTTGTGAGTTTCAGTGTGTTAAAAATGGATGGAATGGAAAGGAACATTTTTCGACTTTCAATTAATACGTACTGATTATCAGGTGAACTACTCGAAACATTAATTTTCAGTAATAAGATCTACATATTTGGCTTTGAGATAAAATCCAAAAACGACAACACCATACTCAAAATGGCACATCTGTCATTAAAACATACATTTAAAACTTGTAATTAATTTGGCCAACAATATATGACCGGAAGATAGTCAAAGGAAAAACAAACAACTCTTCAAAAAAACCCCGTTTCTATGCAAGACTTGTTCACATTGTTCATGGTAATATTATAAAAGGTAAAAACAAACATGAGCAGCTGATGTCTTGAATAATTGTCAAATTGCGTAATTTGTACTTGAATTCGATGTGCAATGTTGTCAACCGTGTGAAATATTATAAGTCTGCTTTTCCACAGGCGAATTTTTATTTGGCAAATACTGAGTTTGTAGGCGAGAGGGGTGCGAGGAAGAAAAACAAAAATTTGCCTGTTCAGAATTTGCCGTACACGCAAATTCTGCTTTGCTCTGTTCGTTGAAAACAATTTTGTTGACATTTCCTTTTGAACCCATTCGCTTTACTGACACACAGCCGGCTTTTGTTTACAAACCTGTTGCTTTCATTTGTGCAAGTGAAATTTAATTTTTAATTTTTGCAATTTATATAATAAAATATATAAAAAATAAATAAAATATTAAAAAAATCTTTAAAATGCAAACACTTTTGACTTTTAGTTTCTTTCTTTTGTATTTTGATTCGCAAATTTGGCAAAGAAAAATTTGCTAATGGAAAAGCAAGCGAAAATTTCAAAAGAGAAAACAAAAAATTTGCCCAATAAAAATCTGCCTGTAGAAAAGCAGACTAAGGAAAATTTTAACAGATGATCGAGACAAAAAACAAAGGTTTCTGTTTTGATATATCACTTTATTATTGCATCATGATTCCAACGTAATACTCTAATATGACAAATTACGTTTTTTAAAAATAAACATGACCCAACAGGAAAATTGGGTACCCATAAAACTGGAAATTTAGTTCTGCTGGATTAACAAATATTTTTAAATCGCCAACATTTTACCACCTATAGGTTATTTTAAGGTTTACTTGTGATAATTGGTAAATCATATTTTTATAATTAAAAAAAAAATATATATTTTTATATAAAAAGCAACTCATGTGAACAACCTTTATTTTTAACTATTGCGTTTTGGCGCCATCTGAACTACCCATACAACACTACACGTTGTGTAGCAACGCCCTAATAAATTCATGCAGTTTTGACATTTTCATAAAAATTGTTCCAGCAGTTTGACATTTTTGACAGCCGAAAACTGCTATACTTTCTTTTCTAATATCCGGTTCACGCAATTGGATTGTTTTTTATAAAGGTGCGAAAAAAAATTATAAAATTTTCATAGAATTTGTGAATTTTATTAATAAATTTATATACCCAAGTGTAAAGAATAAACAACAAAATGTTAAACAATTGGAAATATTGCGAAAAAAGAAAATATACGCTGGATGTTTGTGAATAGAAAAGGCCACAATTTGATTGGAAGTGAATGATGTATGAAATACTGCCAATTCCAGGATGTAAACATTGTGTTTGTGTGACATTAAATGAAAGATAGCGAATATTGAAAAATGAAATTCACAAATTTGTGTTAAATAAATGAATTATTTTCAATACGATATATTGAATGTGTGAAGAAAATACTAATGTAATGTTTCTTTGTTGTTGTTGACTATTTGCAGTTGCTAAGACACAATGGCTCCCAGAAAGGCTAAAGCTCAAAAAGAAGAAGTCCAAGTTTCTTTGGGCCCCCAAGTGCGTGATGGTGAATTTGTTTTCGGCGTTGCTCACATTTATGCCAGTTTCAACGATACCTTCGTCCATGTCACTGACTTGTCTGGCCGTGAAACCATTGCCCGTGTCACTGGTGGCATGAAGGTAAAGGCTGATCGTGATGAAGCTTCTCCCTACGCTGCTATGTTGGCTGCTCAAGTAAGTAAAGCTTTAAGACTACAAAACGATTAGGACGTCTAATGATTGTGTTTCTACTTCTTTCCCATAGGATGTCGCTGAAAAATGCAAGACTTTGGGCATCACCGCTTTGCACATCAAATTGCGTGCCACCGGTGGCAACAAGACCAAAACTCCCGGACCCGGTGCCCAATCTGCTCTCCGTGCTTTGGCCCGTTCTTCCATGAAGATTGGCCGCATCGAAGATGTTACCCCCATTCCTTCCGATTCTACCCGCAGAAAGGGTGGTCGTCGCGGTCGCCGTTTGTAAACACTTTGCTTTTTGTTGCCTTGTGTGTTATTACTTGGACGAAGTATGCAACAACAACAACAATTTTGTCACTTTCCAAGCTGCAGAATTCAACGTTATTGTATGGATGCTGCAAGGTGTACAAATTCAGACTATTATTTTTTAATAAGTGATCGTAAATAAAAAACAACAAAAACAAAAAAATCTAAATCGCAAGAATTTTCATGATTGCTGATGTTGTTGACATCGAAAGATAAGTTGGAGGTAAACAATGGTCAAGATTAAAGTGATGCTGTGCATATAGTTCCGCAGGGGCTAATGCGGCCGAGGAGAGTACTTTTGGTTCCAAGTTGCAAAAATTATAGTGAATGATCTGTGATATAGTAACCAACCCCTTTGGTAGGACTGCGTTACGGATAGAAATATTTTAATAACAAGCCAAGTTTAGGACCCCGTCGCGGTTAGTTTTGCATGTTACTACTTATAGTAAAATTGTCAACACTATTTAAGATTAGACCATGAACTTATGCCCTTGATTTTTTATTTGTTATGGTAGGAAATTAAATATTTATTAATATATGCTTGTGAACTTATTAGCTTTTGTATATCGATGACGGTTTAGATTTAAAACAACAAAGAAAAAAAGGAACAAATTCACATTACGGACACTTTTCTTCCAATATGGGGCTCCAAAGTTTCAAAAATACCTCCACATTTTGTTAAATATCTTTAAGAATATCACTCCGAAATGTGTGCAAAATTTTCTTTTAATATTTTTCTGAGTAGACGGTCTTCGGCTGGGTATTTAAGGGGACCCCCCCCCATTCTCGGGGTCAAAATTTTTGTTGATATAATTCGATTCTACACTGATTAAAGAAAGTCTCTACAAAATTTCAAGTGAAAATCTCAAAAACTGTTGAAGATATATCCGATTTATTGTGTCAGCATCAAGTGACGGCTGAAGGGCTTCTCAAACTTTAAACGCGTTTTTCTCTAAACATTTTTTTGCGAATGGCGGGCACGATAACTCAAAAACTAATAATCCAATCGGTTCCAAATTTTACAACGTTTCTCTGGGAGTGTATAGCTCTCGTATGAACTAGGATAAAGCCAATCGGTGAAGATCTTCCTTATTTTTTAACTTGGTTTTTGGTAAAAAATCGGCGATTTTTCAAAAATATTTTTTCAAATGTCCGCCATTTTGTTAATTTTAGAGCGAAGTCAATTTTTTCAGACATGTACTCTTTCTAACACCGTTGGAATTTTCGGATTCCGATGTTCCAGTGAGGAGTTATCATGCCCGCCATCAAAAATAAGGACTTTTCTTTAATTACAAAAAACAACAACAAAACAATAACAAAATTTTTTTGTAAATTATTTTTCTTCTCTTTTAAATCTTCAATTATATATGTGCAAAGTTACAAACCTTAACAAGCATTGGTATTGATTTACCAGCCCATTGAAAATCTTGAAAAAATAAAATCGAGAATGGGGGGGGGGGGGTTCCCTTAAAACAGATGGAACGTTGGGCTTATGTTCCATGTTAGCCGGCCTTCGTCCTGTGGTTTAAGGCTTTCTGCTGTTGACAGATGGAAAATTTGCCTACGCGAGCAGAATTAAAAATAGTTAGGCATGATAAAATTAAAAGAATATTTAATAATCTCTATGACTAAATCCCCAACCCAGTCGATTTTTTTTCCAAAACCCTATTTCTCAATATGTATGGACTTCCTCTCATAATAGTGACATTTTTATTTAATCAGGTACAATATACATACCTCTGCTGAACCAGAACAGTCTTACTTGAGTCCCTTAAGGCAATCAAATAAAAATCCTTGAATTTTGGAACCCCATATATCCGGAAGTACGAAGTTCTTTACATACAAAGGGGTTATTATCAGTATCAAAATGACTATCTGCAGTAAAAATTTGTGACCTCATATGTCTGGAAGAACTGATTTCCCCCCGAAAAAATGTATGTTGTAATCAACATCAGATGTGCTACCTATCGTAAAAATTACAAAATGTTCTGAGATATGTCCGTAAAGTGCATTTGTTTCCATTTTTTCTTTATTGTTTTAAATCGAAACCGTCATTGGCCGGACTACATGATATACAAAAGCTAATAAGTTCACAAGCAAATATTAATAGATCTTAAATTTCCTACCATAACAAATAGACAAAATCCAGAGTATAAGTTTAGTTCAAAGTCAGATCTCAGATATTTTTGAAAAACTCACTATAATTAGCAACATGGCAAAATATGTAACAAAACTTGGCTTGTTATCGCAGTCCTGTTATTATATCGCAGATCATTCACTATCATTTTTGCAACCTGACCTGAGAGTTGCAGTAAAGTGCATTTAAGTCGAAAAAAGTATATGGTATTCAGGGCCTCTTTTTTGCTACTCAGTAAAAATTCACAACGATCCGCGGCATGATTGGTCTTATTTCTATGATTTTAATGTTTCTTAAGATAACCTGAATATGATTAATTAAACTATGCAAATGCACATTATTTGGCTTTTACTGGTATTCATGATTTTCCTCACCTCCATACAGTGGTAAACATTTCGCCGAATATGATCACATGTTTAAAAGAAGCCTGTATTACTTTCTAAATATAAAATTGGCAAATTTATCATATGTAACCCTACTTTTTAAGAGCGATTTTTTTTTATAAGCAAGAAACCGAATGTTTAGATGCTTTTTGTTAAGGAGAATACTCGTTTTCGTTATACTTACTTTTTTTCTTGAGAATTTTTCTAACAGTTTATATGGGAAATTACAAAATTCTTTTAAAATTTCATTAAAAAAATTTGAAAAATTTTTTTGCGATCACATTTATGATTTTTGGTACATAGGTTAAGAAAAATATGCTGATTCGAAATCTGTTCGCGTTCACAAATTCGGATGCTGCGCACAAAAGTTATAGCGGTTTTAAATCTTGTATTTCAAATATATGTATATTAAATGGATTCCTTTTTGTTGTAATTCGCGAATTTCTTCACAAATGAATAAACACATTTGTTTTCTTTGCATACTTGTCAAATCACATTGAAATACGGTACAATATTCGCGAAAGAAACAAAAAGAAGCATAAGGATATCTGAAAATAAAATAAATTAATTTTTTAATTAAGACAGAACTTTTTTCGAACTTTCAATTTTTTAGTGCGGTTAAGGGAATATGGTTTTGCCTTAATCTTCTAAAATATATGACGCTTTCTTCTGCAAATTCTTTTGCATGATTGTTAAATATCTGTAGATTCATCTGATAAGACTTTCGACGTTAAAAATGATTAAACATATTGCACTTACAATACATAAAAATGATCAATATTGAAAAGCATGCAATTCGCGTTTTCGTGGAAATCAGTTGTTGCGCATGCGGTTTTCGTGTAAATCGAATCAATCTCTTCCAATAATTATGAATTTTTCGATGTTTCATTTAGCGGCAAAAGTGTGCCGCTCGATGCACTTTTCTATGCAAAAACTCTAAAAATGGCTAAAAATGACGCAACGTGCATACGATTTTTATGCGCATCCGATTTCAGTGATCTCCTCTGAAAATACACACAATGGCACCTATTTTAAAAGGATCGGTGAAGAACCGCGGATGTGCCTCCACAATCGATTTTGGATAAAATACGCATATTATTCGCATATCGATATATTTTTGACCTATTTTCACACAGATTCGCGAATATGATAACACAAGCATGAATGTATTTAAAATAAAATCGAAGAAAAACGCGATTATATACGCGAATTTGTCAAAATATGTTTTTGCAGTTATTCCAACATTCAAAGTACCTATATCCGCCTTTTTATTGGCCGGAATTGAACATTGAACATTAAATGGAATTTCTTAATTTTAGACTCAAAATCAGAGCTCCGATTTGCTCGATACGGGTATGTTCTGCAACTCACGGCGTGTTCTTTTCACTTCACTTCAGAAGCTACCTCCTGTTCTGCTTCTCACGTGAATTGAAATTTTGAACTTCGACAAAAATAAACGTCGACATGGTTCTTTGCAGAAGTAGTGTTGCCATACAATATAAACTGTATTCGTTTTTAACATTGTTTCTGTAATTTTATAGTAATTTCGTTAATTCTAACAATAATTTTATTATTTTTTTTAAATATTTTATTATTCGCAACATAAAATATACGGGTATGTTCTGAAACTCACGGCGTGTTCTTTTCACTTCACACATACACTTCACCTCAGAAGCTACCTCCTGTTCTGCTTCTCACGTGAATCGAAATTTTGAACTGCGACAAAAATAAACGTCGACATGGTATTTTGCAGAAGTAGTGTTGCCATACAATATAAACTGTATTCGGTTTTAACATTGTTTCTGTAATTCTTTAGTAATTTCGTTAATTCTAACGATAACTTTATTATTATTTTTTAATATTTTATTATTCGCAACATAAAATATATGTATGAAAAACTCTGTAATATCATTAATTTGTTGATTGATTTAAGGGGAACATTTGGTAACCCTATCTTCTTCGGCCTTACTTCAAATCAGCTGTTTGTGTCAAGCAAGAAATTCAGTTGAAGAAAATTCAAGACAAACCTTAGTATCTATTTAAATTTTGTTTTTAATGGTGCTTCATGTCCTTTTTGTGATTTTAAACAAATTATACGCAATAATAACATATCAATCTATCATCATGTGCGTCTTTTATTTCAAAAAAGATTTTCTTTCATATAGAAAAACATGAATACACCCGACTCTCACTATGAAAATGTAAGTGTAAAGAATACACCTCAAATGGGTGTAAAGTGTGTTACAGAACACCTCGGCATGTGTTCGATACACTTCTGCCGTTGAAGTGAATGCCAGAACATGCCCGATATGTATGAAAAACTCTGTAATATCATTAATTTGTTGATTGATTTAAGGGGAACATTTGGTAACCCTATATTCTTCGGCCTTACTTCGAATCAGCTGTTTGTGTCAAGCAAGAAATTCCGTTGCAAAAAATCAAGACAAACCTTAGTATCTATTTAAAATTTGTTTTTAATGGCGTTTCATGTTTATTTTGTGATTTTAAACAATTTATACGCAATAACAACATATCATCATGTTCCTTTTTTATTTCAAAAAAGATTTTATTTTATATGGAAAAACATACGGGTATGTTCTGGAACTCACGGCGTGTTCTTTTCACTTCACACATACACTTCAC